ATAACGGAAACAATTATTATTATTGTAACCAATTGTACCAGAGATTGTTTTACTGTGTTTGTTTAACTGTATCAGTTTCACTTCTGCTTCCGCTCTCCGCCTTGTTTGGTTCGAGCTTGCTCACGCACTGCTTATTCGCTTGTACTCTTTGGCACGTCTCGGTATTATTTCGATACCACGAGATCGCCAATAAATATACTTGATCTGGACTAGTAAAGCCTTCTGGTTTACGGGCTATCAAGGGAACCAAGTCATATTTGTACGCGTAATCGAATAGTAGTGGTGATCATAGTCCGTCCACGACTCGACATCCACTACAAGTATATGATGCAAATTCTAAATATCAATGGTTTCACTACACAACCGACATGCTGATTGTATACAATTCTAGAACCCAGGTGAGTCTGTTCCAATTTCCGTTGTTGATTCTAATATTAATGAGTGCATTCTAGATAATACAGAGTGTACATTCAATACACCATCGGACAGATACACCTTCACTTCAATTCGAGCTGTGGCGGATGTGATGTCTAAATAAATAAATGACTTCTTAGTATTGATGACTGTTGTAATTTTGAATTCCAAATACAATACATTCGTTCGGGCTCATCTGATACTTCTTGATTAAATTGCGTTATTCCTGGGATTACTAGTTTATACTACAATTCAAATACTTCTAATCATCATATGTTGACAATCTGAAAACTGTATTGTGGGAAGACATTACTCTTTTCTTTACTTCTTCAGCTACAAATTCTAAAACACATTCGGTTTTAGTGAGTTGTTCGAGGTATTTTTCATGTTTTACAACCTGTTTATGCATGTAGGGTGCTAAGTGGTTAAGTTTATTGCCAGTTTTATAACCGTCTTATATCTCTACAACAGCGATCAGAGTTTCGTTGTGTGTCAGATAAAATATTAGACACCTTAACTCATGAAATTTTGCATATGGGTCATGGTATATCATAATGACGGGAACAGTGTTAACCTTTCAGTGTATGTGGGTATAATACCTTTTATATCAACCAGTCGTACCGTTGGCATGCTGCTTAAAGAAACGGGGGGTTGTAATACGGAAAATCAGATAGTAACTGATATTTGTGGATAAGAAACATAAAGTTCAAAAGATAAAGGTTCGACTTTGTCAAGCACCAATTCGTCAGACATAGGGGTTACAGATTTCGATATTTAGGCTGGTTTGGTAGAAGCACGTGATATTTTTTACCGGAATTAGTAATCACAAGTGAAAGCTAAGTGAGTAAAGAGCCCGGTAACTAAGTAGAATATGTCGGTATATAGTTATTAAGTATTAAACGAGTTAATACTAAGATCAGTGACTGTGGGTATGTGAAAGAATTTGGAGACTAGGCGTTAAGTCATTTCGTGTGACAGCAGTTATCGACTGAGTGTCTATGTTTCAATCAATAGCGAAATAACCATAATATACTTCTTCCAGAGCAAGTACACACCATTTTTAAAGGCATGATCGATAAGGTGCAACATTACTTTGCTTACAGTATGCCTCCCAAGTAAGGTTGTTAAATAAATAAAGTCAAAAAAGATTACATTCGTACAAATGTCTCCGAGAGTTAGTAATTAAGTTTATGTTTTGGTATCGCATTATGAGTGCAGTTTTCACAATCTGTTTCAAAAACGTCATCGCATCCACGATGTGACTATCGGAAACGTACACCAGATCCGAACTCGGCGTTATTCTGTTGGGTTTCTGGTCTGGTTAAATATTTGTGCACTACAACTTTTTAACAAGTTTATGACCGCTATTAGGTAAATTTATAGGGCACTTGGTATGAACCATGACCTTAAAAAACGCGTACGTCAAGGTTTATTCAGACGTGAGAATTATGGTCGTAAGTAGTACAAACGGGAGGAAGAAGCCTGTTAATTTTAACAGTTGGGGGCTTGTGCAAAATGTTTGAAGAAGTCTACGATGGTTGTGTATCAAATGGCGGATGATCTTCAGAACCAGTATTCTTTGGTAAGATTTAAACAGTAAGTTTGAACTTGTAGAAATTGAGCCACCAACATTTACACGCCTTACCTGAGAAAATGATACAAAACATCAGGATCAATCAAGACTCTTCTGGATGATAGTTTTCGTAGTTCCCCAAGTTTCCACCCCGTACAGTAGGACTGTCTTCACATTTGTACTGAAAATTTTAACTTTGGTGTTGGTTGACAAATGTTTTGTGTTCCAGAAGTTCCTCAGTTGGAAATATGCTGCTCTTGCTTTGCCGATTCACGTCTTCACATCTGCATCAGATCCACCGTGTTCATCGATGATGCTGCCTACACATGTAAAGGTTTCTGCATCCTCCTAAGCTTCCCTGTCAAGTGTGATTTCATTGGTGCATGATATTGTATCGGAGAGTCTTGCTTTTTCCTTTGTGTATTTTGAGACCTACTGTTGCTGAGGTTGCTGCTACACTGATCGTTTCCTCCTTCATTTGTTGTTGCGTGTGTGATAGAAGAGCCCGATCATCTGCGAGGTCTAAATCATCCAGCTGCATCCTAGCTGTTCACTGTATCCCGTGCTTCTCCCCAGCTGTTGAAGTTTTCATGATCCAGTCGATCACCAGGAGAAAGAGAAAGGGTGAGAGTAAGCAACCTACATTGATGACACCGAGTACAGAAATCATATGTTGGAAGGATTAGCCTATTATAATTGTCTAGGATACACTCACACCCTGATTCTAGGTGACTTCAGTCTTCCTAAAGTCAGATTCACTGAATACACCTATGTTGGGGGTGAGTACTTGAAAATGTGAATTGGACGACGTAGTAGAGAAACGGTCAGATGCCTCCGCGATTAAACTGCATATTTACGAACGAATAATTACTAATCGACAACCTGTCAGTCTTGACTTCCCTAGATAAAAGCGATCACGCCGTCATAGCCTCTATTTTTACCAGCGAAACTCTGCTGAAACATCTTACCCATGACAGGTATTGGAATTTCAAACGGTTGGATGTGTCAGCTTTACAGAGCAACCTACATCAAGTAATCTGGGGAGTCTACGCTTAACTTTATGAGTTTTCCAGCTATTAGGTCACAGTGGTTCAGCGAACAACAAAGATGACGTCGTTGGCATTTTGGAAGAATATATTCAAACAATTCAACTGTCCGGTAGAAACTACACCGGGGAACGCTTCGCCTGAACTCATCTGGACTCTCACAAGTGAACTTGAGATGTGGTTCGGTGTATCAGAAACCACACTACTTGAAAAAATGCATTTCTGTTGGCCCGGATATGGTTCATTCTGCCATACTAAGAGAAGAAGCTTTTAGTTTGGTGAATCCATTTGATACAATGTTCTTACATTTGCCGAGACACTAAACCAGAAAACTGGAAGCTGGTGCACATCACATTAATTTTTAAAGAAAGTAGACTTCGTGAACCTTCAAACTACCGGTCAGTTGCACTTCTCTCAATATGTTCAAAACTTATAAAGTCCGTGATATACGATGGTCTGCGTGACTACTTATTATCTAAAAACTTCACTAACAGCACTGATTCAGGAATGCTTAGCCTATGTTTTTCGCCAACCTGCTGACCTTGGTGGACAGTCGGACAACCATCCTTGATAACAATGGGAAGTTAGTATCATAAAATTTGGATTCTCACATACTTTCTCTAAGTTCAACAATCTATGTTTCATCACTAAGCTCAAACGGTTAGGTATTAGGTTGTCGTCAGCAATTGGGTTTACTTCATATTCAAATAATCGAATGTTTAAGGTCAGGGTATCGTTCGATTCGTAACTTTTCGCTGACAATATGAAACTTCAGGGGGACGTTTTCAACCAAGATGATAAGCTGGCACTTCAGGAGGATCTAACTCGACTTCAAAGTTGGGAGGATAAGAACGAACTCACTTTCAACACTTCAAAGTGTAAAGTAGTTCACCTGAGATGTGTTATAGACTTCACACACAACTTAGGTAACTTCTCTTTAGAGGTATCATAGATTGACACAGATCTGGTAGCGTTGGTACCATACGATCTAAAGTTTTACGCTGCAACAAAAATGCCTTTCGAACAAACCTTGCGCCGGTAACGTCGAGGCGCGTTGTTGACCAGTTTGATAGCGGACCTTTCCACTCAATCACCGCTAATTTTATACTGCTCCATTTAGAGTATGGCAATATTATGTTTCCTTCCACACTACATGAGTGAGATAAGAAATCACTTTGGAGACTCGAATTCAGATCTTATAACAAGCTCCTCTGACAACTGACTCTTCGCCCACTAGAACATGGAAGTCTCAGAGGTGACCTTTTAGTGCCTTCTGGCATGGAACCCGCCCGGACACCCCCTTAAGTACTCACTTAAGCTCACTTCCAACAAAAACAATAAGATTAATACCTAGAATATAGAGGCACACCATAGCAGAATGCACTGTTTTCACACATACACTTTGTGAGTTGCCAAATTTTGGAATTCACTGCTGAATGATGTAGTCCGGAATATTTCCCAGGGGTCTTTGAAGGGAAAACTCGATATCTTCTTAAAGACTCAGGACAGTATCTCACTATGATTTGCTAACACTTTTCTCTTCATCGTTAAATATACCAAGATTCCTACCTGAAGGCATCAGTAATCGACTAATACTAGGTACGGAGGCCCGTTAAGCGAAATCTATTACGTCCAGAACCGTTTGAGTCATTTAGTTAATTGTCAGAGAATAAATCACCGACTCATTTGTATATAATCGACGGTTTATAAAATTATTACTATAGGATTTATCTGCCTATGGACGTGCTATTTTATTGGTAAAGAATAAATATTGATATTTGTCCGTTTACCGTTCTTAGTAAACCCAGTGTTACTGAACATTCCATAAGGTTCAAAATATTGGTTTCGAAAACCCTTCTAAAGAAACATAGGTACAAAATGAACTATAGTAAAACATTCAAAATTAGTATGCATAAAAAGAGTACATTGTAAGTCAGTTTTTATCTCAATCTTTAGTTTGTTGTTATAAGAAACATCGTGCTACCGAGCGCACTGTTCAACTGTTGTTCCTTAGTCATCATCCTGCCATATCTTGTATGACACAGTCCTATTCCTACTGACGTGCCACTAACAAATTTCATTCTCACTGCTATAAAAACTCAATTTTTTGATCACTTTCACACAAACATAATGGAGGAAAACGATCAGTCGCAGAATATACCTTTATTATGCCGTAAAGGATGTGGATTTTATGGCAGTCCTAATTTTGATGGATTTTGTTCCAAGTGTCATCGCAGTATGCAAGTCCAAGCGGAGAATGTACAAGCAGTCTCTCGCGTAACTTCCGACTTTGAAGATAAGCTGTCTCCTGAAAGAAGTGTAAAAATTACAGCCTCTTCAGGTAACATGCTTCCGCTTTGCTTTTCGCGCTGCCGCTGGTCCCTTAGCTTGCAGTTATGTATTTAAATAATTAGTGTATCCTAACCCACACCATGAGTTCCTTGATTAAGGTTTTTCCATTCCGTATCATCAGTATTAAAAAGGTTTTATCCACCCAGTTGACTTCTGATAGTTTCTGGCTTGTTTTGATGGGTGTCGCGGATTTTTTTTCTTGATTACGATTATGGACCAATTATTTTGTGTTCAAACCATGTCGGCAACTTCAAGCCTTCTGTGCCAGTCCATACTTCTGTGATATAGGGACCTAGCTATTTATGCAACTGTTGTTGCATAGTCAAGCTGCTCTGTTCTCCAATTGCTTGCCATAATCTGGGCAATAAGCTTATTTTTAGTTGATTTAAAGGTTACTCAAAAACCCTTAGTGTAACCACAATTTAAACAAATTTTAGTCCCCTTTATGATATTAGCTCATATTATCCGCTCGGCCGCCTTTGAATTTAGCAAATAAATGAGTTAATATCTGACCCTGCACGTATCCTAATATTCGCTGGCATGTATTTTAAATCACTGGGTGTGAAGTGTTGATGTTAACTACGGCGTATTAAGTAAGAATGATGAATTGGTTTGTAAGACTGTCAAATGGAATAGTCAGGATATGTATCGCCAATGCTCATTAGGTGACGGCAGTCGAACTGAGTCGTCGTAGTAGACACAGACTAATTAGTTTGGGTGCACGCGATCATCGTAACCAATGGCTAGAGACAGGTGATGACTCAAAATCTGCCGCACTGGCAGATTTATTCACTCTTACGTCCCTTGAATCCTGGGTATTCAGATTATCCTAGACTTCTTAATACACCAATCCAGTCTCATATCATACCGTTTTTGTTTAGTCTTTTCCACAACTACTGATGGTGTTACTACTTCTACTACTCTAGGATCGGCGAGACTATAAATTATAGACGACCTTTGTACGAATCTTAAATGGCATTGAGATATATTAGCCAATCAGAAGGCAGTTGGTATACAGTAAAAATATATTATACAAAACTACAAAATTAAAGCGAATACTGTTCCTTTACATGGCTAAAAGACTTCTCAAGGTCGGATATAGGTTCAGAAGTTCTAAAATCATAGTGCACACGGTACAGGAACTCATCCATATGGCTCCATAGTAGTCGGCCTCTGGAGCCATGATAAGGTCTCAAAAACTCTTTTAGCCTCGACCACATAGCTTCAATGTTGTTGGTATGCACCCCAGTTGTAGGGTCTACAAAATGGTGCTTGTGGATGACAACTTCATGCGCGTAGCCAAGACTACTTAGGCATCTATATGCTCTCCAATCATCTGTGTACATCATAGTGCCCGGCTGCACATATTCCCGTATAATCGGTATTATTGTTGGTGTCTGTCGGTTCCTAACTCGTTGGAAATGTCCTTTTTGTAATGATCTATCATAGATTCTAAGGACCTGTGAGGTATATTTATGGAAGAGGTACTTACTTATCTTTGATACTACGGCCACGGTTGAATTTTTGTTTCCCTACAACTGTTTCGTCTATTTCGACGATCCTCTCAACTCTTCCATACGATTCGTGTAAACTTGTCAATTTTGCTGCACATATATGTCGATAATACTCGTACCACTGAACTGCCGAAACTTCACTTACATCAGCAAACGTGGCAGCAAGTGTAACAGGTGCTTTTATTATCCAATTAGCAACAAGGATCATTATTTGCCTTAGCCTTAATTTTGATCGAACGAAGAAAGTTCCTGTTATAGCTGACTTTCTTTTCCAACATGAAGAACATCGAAGGATAACATCATCATGGCAGTTTGCACACCGCGCAGCGGTCATTTGACCACCACAGTCACAAGTATAGGAACTTCTTAATAATCCCTTCTCTTGTAGACGCTGAATTATCACGTTTTGTAGACCCTACAACTGGAGTGCATACCAACAACATTGAAGCTATGTGGTCGAGGCTAAAAGAGTTTTTGAGACCTCATCATGGCTCCAGAGGCCGACTACTATGGAGCCATATGGATGAGTTCCTGTACCGTGTGCACTATGATTTTAGAACTTCTGAACCTATATCCGACCTTGAGAAGTTTTTTAGCCATGTAAAGGAACAGTATTCGCTTTAATTTTGTAGTTTTGTATAATATATTTTTACTGTATACCAACTGCCTTCTGATTGGCTAATATATCTCAATGCCATTTAAGATTCGTACAAAGGTCTTCCATAAATTATAGTCTCGCCCATAGTTCCCTACACATTTTGTGAATCAATTGCCCTTACCCTTGCTCCAACTTACTGATGTAGGTTATTATGAAATTCAAGTATTTAGTGTTTATATATAACACGTCCCAACTATTACGTTTTATAGTTTGAGACCAATCCGCCTGCACTTCTTTCTGTAAACCATTCCGCTGATTTCTTTGGGCTTATTTTTTCTAGCTGAAAATTTTTCCAAACGTGATTCTCCATTGGTGCCTCCTGTGACCATAAAGATTTCTGCTGATTCTCATCCAAATTCTTCACTGGACCTTAATGCAGAATCAAACCTAACCCTCCCTTCATCAGCTCCTGAACTACGTGCAGAAACTGAAGTATCTTCTATTTCGTTGCCGGACTCTTTAAATGATGATCTAAAGTCAGACAGTAAACCAGATTCTCCTGGTTAGTTGCACCTTTCATTTACTTTCCAGTTTTGTTTTATCTGCTGTTATTTTTTTGTGAGTAGCTTAGCAGACAATAAACTTGTTTAGAAGTGGTTTTAGTTGAATCATGTACTAATCCTGTTTGCATATTGTATTCTTCAATAGCATATCATGCGAAGAAATAACTTAACCGAAGGTCGTTCCACTTTATTTGCTTGCATATTAAATTATAGTAATTGCACTGACTCTAACTTTTAAATTAATTTAGAAAGAGACGTAACAAAAAATTGTACTCGTATACTTTTGACTTTTCACTGGGCTACTAAGTGTGTCAGCTATATTGTTGTCATTAACACAATTACGATCGAGTACAGTTTAAATAAGTTATTTGGTTAGTGACGCTAATCGATCCGGTGTAAGTAGATAATCATCGCTTACAATACTAAATTGAATTATAGTCAATATATACTACAGCAGAGAAAAGCAGTGTGTCTTTGGAAAATCACACCAATTGTGTGTACTAGAAAACTAGTTTATAAACAAGTTAGTGTTTGTTTGACTGTTGGACTGCTTATAACTAGAAATAAGGATTACTCATCTAGTACTATTTCCCTGTCATTATACCAAATTCTTAGTTTGCAATGCATAACCGATTTACAACAAAGACTGACAAACCCCAATTATATGAGACGGTCAACAGTGAGTTGCTATATGAATTGTGTCGACTAACAGCGTCCGTCCATTAGAGATTCCATTGATGTTATTTATGTCTATTAACTACACTATTGAATCGGATTTTCAAAAGGTATCAGGTTTGTGACTTGTTTGTTCAGGCTATCGTGTATAAACTAATAACCCAAAAGATACTTGTCCAATTCTTACAAAAATAGTTATCCCAGCTAAGCATCTGGTGAGTCAGAAGTTCTGTTGGTACATGTGTTTTCGTTTTCCTAAACTCTTTTTTGCAAATTTGTTGTAAAAACCTTTTGTTTTTGAAAGACAGACTTGACTCTAAGTTCTAGCCTTCACTCAGATTGTCATCGGTGTTAGCATCCGGCGATGCAGCAGTGACATAGTTTAAGCGCTTAGTTTTCAATCTAAGTTTTAGGATGGGGGCTTACTTAATATACTTATGTTTCAGTGCAAATCCATGAAGTCACTGACAAGTGGACTGAGCCATGTTGGTAGATGTAGACTACTTGGCTGGGATCCCCAAGATGATAGCAACTGATGGTTAGAGACCTTGAATGACATGACTCGAAATCGTTTGCAATGGCTCAGGTGCATCCACTCTTTGTGTTCTCCCAAATTTTGATCTTAATTCTTCATGTCCCTTTCATTTTTCTCTTTCCAAATTTCTTTCACTGGATTATACTCCTTCAATAACATCTTCAAACCCTAAACTTTTGAATCACTGCTTATACTCTTACTTCCTCTACCACTATAGGATTTGAATCGACAGCTGCATCTCTGTGCTAATGTGGTATGACAACTTGAACTAATGTACGTACTTACGAAGTTCTAAGTTGTGACTGACTGACTGTTTCAGTATCTAGTTAGTGTCATTCGCCTCCGCAACCAACTATGCGGACATGTACTTAGTTACCGAGCGCACTACTTAATTTGACCACACTTAGAACTAAATCCTAAAGTGTGATGTTATCGATTTTCCAGGAAGCTTACATCATTCATTGGTAGTGATGCAAGGGCTTTTTTGTTCCTTAAATATTAGACATTTCTTTACCCCCCCCCATCTTTCTGTAGCCTACTACTATTGCACTGTAGTAAGTTCCAAAATATTTTTGTGACAAACTCAACTCCACACAAAAGTGGCTATTTACTAGAGGGAACAAAGATTTTAAACCTAAAAATGATACCAGTTCATAAGGTTTGGATGCCAATCTAAAACATGCGATAGTGTGGTTTCCTTTGCTAAGCTCTGGATAGCAGAAATAAGTAGCCGAAAACCCAAAGTGACACGAATTAATTATACTAACTCTACTCTTAAACTCCCGAAATTTGAACGTCTTATTCGTTCCATCTTTCTCCACATTTTTTTTATCTTAATGTCTTCCGCACCTGTTCATCTCATAAACTTTGAAATTATTGACTTACCGCTTACCCTCGTCTATGGGCAGATGCTTGTAGGAGTTATGATGTAGGCGTTATATCTCATTGCTTTGACGAGTTCAGTTTTCTGTCCTATCTGATGATGACGTTGATTCTGTTGGCTTATTAACCTAATGTTGTGAGGTAGGGAACACCAGGCAACTATTCAGACTAATAAAAGAAACCGGAATTAAGAAGTCAAGTGTAAGTGAGACATTCTCCGAAAATGACGGAACCCTTATCTGCTCTCAACCCAAACGTTTAGAACGATGGGCGGAACACTTTAAGGAGCAGTTTAGCTGGCCTTCAGCTACTGCACAACTACCCACTATTCCTAGAAAACCTGAATGGAACATTGAAGTAGGCCCCCCGACCCTACTTGAAGTTCAAAAGGCTATAGGTAATCTGAAACGAGGAAGAGCAGCTGGTCCAGATGGGTTGACTCCAGAGGTCTTTAAATATGGTAGTCTGATTTTAGCGATTAGGTTGACTAATATTCTGGCTAAAATCTGGGAGACAGATGTAATCCCACCCGATTGGTCACAATCACTGATTGTCTGCGACCATGTGTTACGTACGCCTGAACACCGATTACCACGACGCGCTATGATGACTAGTACTGGGGATTGTTGGAAGAGAGTTAGGGGCGGCCAAACCAAAACATGGCATCAGTGTTTGAAATCACTAACTTCTAGTCTGAGCCATGTTGGCAGATGCAGACTACCTGGTTGGGGTCCGCGTGACTATCGTAACCAATGGTTGGAGACTCTAGGTGACATGGCTCAGAATCGACCACAATGGCGTAGGTGTATACACTCTTTATCTTCCTTTAAACCTTGAGACTAAAATTGCTTCATATCTCTCTTCCTTCCTGTACTATATCCTTATGTACAACCTATAATTTATATACTGCTACCACCACTAAATTAATAACTTCTATGAATCCAGTGTTCATCTTGTTGTGCTAACGAGGTATGGTAACTTGGACCGATGCATAAATGTGCCTGGTCCTACGTTGTAGCTGACTGACTGACTGATTGTGAGGGTTGTCCGTTGCAGTTTAATTTACTGGTCTACCAGACTCTTTAGGTTTAAAGATCCATTAAAGTCCCAAAATTAACTTATTTTTTCCTATCTTAAGTCCTGGCATTCGCAATGCGAGTTTATAACTTAGTTACCACCCTCAAATACATATAATAAACTACTCACCAAAACTTAGGTGGAGAAACGTCTTAACCTGTTATCCAATGAGTCGGGATGTCTCCATATTAATAAAATGCAGGTTTGGTTTTTAACATGACACGCGTATCAGTCATAAAAAACGATAGTAAAGTTTTACTATCCGATACGGAACATTTATTTACTATGATTATTGTGTATATTTGTTTCCCACAGCATCCACCTCCTCCTCTTCTGGACCAGCAACGAAAACCAGACCACGCTGCGCTGTATGTCACAAACGTGTGGGTTTAACAGGTAACCATATCTACCGTTTTAATTATTGTATCATTTGATGCTTAGAAAATTTATTATTTTGCATTTATACAGTAAGCTTATTTTGATTTGTTTATTACAACTCAGTTCTGTATATTTCTCTTCTTATTGTTCAGGTTTCAGTTGTCGCTGTGGTGGCCTTTACTGTAGCATTCATCGCTACTCGGATGCACACAATTGTTCCTATGATTACCGCGAATCAGGCCAAGAAGAAATCCGTCGTTCTAATCCTCAAATAGTTTGTCAGAAAGTTCAAAAAATTTGATGTTCTCAATATGACCCTTTTGTAAAAACTGATTATCAGGAATCTTGTTCCGATGATTGTTTTTACTTTACACCTAGTTGCACTTGTGGATAGAGACTATATTTCGTGTTGGTTCCAAAGTTTAATCTATTGTGTATACAATCGTTAAAATCTCAGCTTACCACACCATCAGTTTATCCAGCAGTATTTGTTATGTTTTCTTTTGATGAAATTCGTCGCCATCAGTTATACAAGAATGGATTATACTGCCATTGATTTCGCTTTAAAATATCTGAAAAGTGATGATTACTGCATATATTGCCCTTACTGGACTATACTGTATTCTAGTGATCCTTTAAATTTTGTGTGATGTTTGAAATTCATTAAATTCAGTCAAAATATACTTCATTCTTTCGTTTACAATTAAGTGTGTATTTTAGGCTGTCATTCTTTAAGCAGCTACCACTTAACTCATTTTGATAAATGTAAGAAGTTTAAATACAACTCTTCAAGTGTGTTTATGATCGCATCTGTCGGTGCTTTTACACTACCATCTTTTCAGGTTCATGGCAGCGTAAACTATTTCATCATTTTGTGGCTTGCTTGAATCTTCTCTCTAATTATACCGGCATATTCTTGCTGGTTTGTATACATAAAATCCCTTATCAGTTTTATTATGCTCAACTCGGCTGTGTTCTTTCACCCATTTTGTAGTATTGTGTAGGTTACCGTTAGTGTATCACTACTTTTGTGTGTGACATTTTGCAGGTTCATTGTTTTGTCACGGCCTTTTTTAGGCGATGCGAAGGGCAAATATTAAACTGTGCTCCATTATTAGTTTCCTGATTATTGTCATAAATGTCATAAGCTATATTTACTTTGTATGCTTTGCATATTGGGTTCTATTCGTTTTCCTACCATTTCTCAAAGCTATATTGTCTTGTAATTTTCTCCTGTCCTATTTAGCTATAACGTATTTGGTTTCAGTCTGCTTATTGCACAAATATATTTTAATGAGCCCGTCTGTGAGCTTTGTTCTTATGGAAGTTAAAACCACGTCTGTGCAAGTAAATGCTTTTCCAAAAAACACTTAACAGTACTGAGTAAATCTTACAGCATCTGTAGGCGTTTCCAATGCAGCATAGGATAGTGGCCCACCTTTGCACGGTTTCATTTCTGAAAAGTTCGGTCACTAAAAACGATTTGGTTTTATTGAGAGTCGAAAACGAGTAAGAACGCAAACTATTTTTCTTGTGCTGAGACAAAACTTAAACAGTGCTCAGTACATTTGATTGATACATACCATAAGCCACATATACCGTATAACTCACACCTAACGTACCCTTAAAAATTCCCACTCGGTTGTATCAATTCGTAATCCAGAAGTTGCACATAATGACTGGTTTCTTCTGTCTAGTATGTTAATTGTGTTAATAATAATTCGTTTTATTTACTACATCGGTTAAACTGATATAAACATCTACAATGCTCGATTTCGTTTATACGTTCTAATTGCTTTAATTGTTGATCATAGTGTCCCCAAATGCCCTGTTACGGCTGAGAGTGGGGAGAGTCAGCTCTCTCGAAATGCTCTCACATGGCCACGAGTAGACAACCACTGGCTTCTCTTCGCGGGGCTTTTGTTTACGAAATTAAGTGTCCGGTGCTTTGACCGGGTTGGTAGACACGGAGAGTCCACCTAAGGGAGTTGGAAAACCATGATTCCAAACCACAGGTGCACAAGGGCCCCAGTACGCTGAAGGGACAAATGGCGTATGAACCAATCGTTGGTCACCGACTGCCATGGGACTTACTTTGCTCCGCTGCCTAGTGGATTGGACCTTTAGGTCGAGGGCTCCGGCTGTGACCTCCCAAGAAAACCACCTGCTTCGGTTGAGCACACGGACAGTATTCCAGCCCTCACACAAATCGAATGATTTATGCGGCGCATATCTGTTTGTTTCCTCCTTGTACCAATGTTTTGTGTCTAAATAAATTGATCATATTACTGTAATTATTTTTTGAGGTCGTTCCATTAAGTGTCAGAAGTGAGGCAACTGTCTAGGACTTGGGTAATTGTTAGGATATGTTACTGTGACTGTTGTGCTAGATTATCGCCATATAATGATATTTAGATTTTTCCACAATGGAAAGGGGGTGCACTGGAAGATGATTTTGTCCAAGTTACCACTTTAGTAGTGTTCAGGAAATAATGCGGGAAATCAGAGGGGAAATATTCTTAACTGACGTCTTGAAAAATGATGTGAAATTATTAGAAAACAAGAAATAAAGACATTTATGACTGAATTTGAGTTACATGGTAACCAATTATATTTTGCTGTTCTAAGGAGTTCAGCACCGTGTTAAAAGGTCTCGACTAGCAGTCAAGGCTTTGAGAAATTGACGTGATTATCCCAGTCTAATAGCTCCAAGTTTTTAAACAACTTCGTTTAGTGATGAGGTCTTACAGCTGAATTGCCATTACCTAGTCTCGACAGTGGTCCAGTCTTAAACTTTCATTCTATGACACATGTGCCCAGGTATTGGTAACTTACATACCTCGTTCTCGAACCATACTCTCGAGTGCTTAGTTTACCTCATTGTCAACGATACTAGTATTGTCTTAACTGACTTACAGTTCTTGCTAATTTCATTTAGGCGATCTAAAATAATATGATAAAGGTAGCTAACATGCATTACTGTACTTTGATTATTACTAACTAGCAACTTGAAAGGTATGGCTTTGTAACACTAAAGCAATCCAGAACCGACTGCTTTTTAAAGGATACTCACACTGGTGGGTTGATGTCTCTATTGCTCCACCTGTTTTCGTTTGTCAGCTACCAGTATAGGTTAGACTAATGGGATGGAAATGGTTCCCGGTTGTTTTTTAGGTCGTTCTTTAATGAGACCCTCAAAAACATTTACAAAACAAGTGAGGCACAGAGCTCTTTATTTCTTCCGATTCGATAAGATGTCATAGTAGGGAACTACTAACACTCACAAGTTGAACTAATCCGAAGAGTCCACCTAAGGCATGTGTCAAAGTTCTCACATTCAACAGCACAGAAATATGCTGAAACATGTTATAAGAAGGTTGATAAATAAGATATTCAAGAATTGTGCTCAGCTTTCTCCTGTCAAGTACTTTTGCTGATTTGAAATAGCTATTTAGTCACGCAATTTACCGTTAAGGACAGTGTCTTAGGGGTTCGTTTTCACATTTATGGTCGAGGACATTTTGTTAGAAACAAGTGCTTCCTATCCAAACCTTTAAACATTTGGTTATATATCTTGCTTAGAAGCCCATATTAGCATAGGCTGCTTAGCCAAACGTTGTGCTTCTCAAATTTCCTAACCTAGATAGTATTTTCCACACTTGGAGTTCTGTTTGGAAAACCAGTTTCCTATAAGGTATTCAAAGGGAAATCTATAGTAAATTTGGAAAATAATCTCAGAGGTCATTTAGGACACTTGAATATGAGTCCGTATGCCAATAATGTTTGCTTTCGAGTCTCCGTGACAGTTGAGTGTCCCAACTGTCAAGAATTGAGTTCAGACTTTACGTTGATTTACAGCATACGTCTCTGAAAACCTGAGTGAATGTAAGAACTTAATAACTAAGCCTGGTTCTTTTGGGCTTCCTCCACTTTGTGATAATGAATTATTAATTATTCTAGAAATCAAAAATAACGTGTTTCAAATCAATTCTAATAACTTAGTGTATAAATATGTCTTGTGTCATTAAAATCTGTTCTGAACATTCCCAATTACTTCTTGTTGCAATGTACGATCCTGTTTGGGATAGGAATAAGTTGGACAAAGCCTAGGGGGAAATTTGTGGAACTGTCTCGATCCGAGAAATTACTGACTGTCTATCTCAATGATTTCTATTGGTGTGAGCCTTTTGGTTGAATTCCATACATTTGCAACTCAGGGTAATATTGTCTGAGGTCGACCACAGTAATGCTGTTTTATCCATTCTCTGTTTTCATCTATATCTTGAGTTATGTGTAGTCCCATAAATTCTTCGATTTCATTCATTCAGTTTGTTTTAGATTTACTTTCCTTTACCTGTGACCCTGTTGGGCTCCTTTATCGCTATTCTTATGTGAAGTGTGACAACTTGAACCAGTGCATATTCGAGCCAAATCCTATGTTGACGATGTTTGGTATACAGAACGTTTCAAATTAGTATAAATACAAAAGGCGGTTTATGAAGATCCTTGAATTTCGTAGTTTACAATATGAACTAATCTTAGCCACTGAAAATCAAGAAGCACTGGACACCTATTTCATGGGATACTTCAACAGTCTCCATCTACAAAATTGTTTTGATCATGATTATGTGTTTATTATTCCCTAATTTCAAGAGGTAATTCCCGTCAGTCCTGATGAAAAGCCATAAGTAGTGGATTTCAACTATGTCGGGTGTGTGACACCTCTCCACTAATGACATTAAAAGATGGTTGCTCAATATTGATAAGTGATTGAAATTAAATATGCAAACCAGTGATCCTGCGTCAGTAGTCTTAAGGTCAAAAGCTCACCCGAAGACCTAAAGACCCTGTTTCTGATCTCCAGTGAGCTTGTGGATGAACACTGCTAAGGAAAAAACAGTTGTTCAATCCCTCTTGGTTTTCATTTTCTGTGTAATGCCGATTATTTCGTGCTGTGGACTATAAAATTCTAATTATCATAGTTGACTTACTCGTTAATTTATCTGTTTTCCGTATCTAGATGATAAAATGTGCGTAAAGTTCCAATCTGTATGTTTAGATTTTAATCATAAATCGTTTCTTTAGATCTGTAGTTCCCAACTGACATTTACTAGTTCCTATAAATAATCCAGAGAACTAAAAGAACTATTGATTGTTGAACATTTAAAAAAAGACTAATTCTTAGTTTGGTAGTGACGTAATACAAGTTGCTCAAAAAAATAAAAAGAATGTATTGGTCAATAATAGTGTTAATTATAGTAATAATGTTGAGAAACAGTTACTACTTATAAATAAAATTTA